CACCAAAAATTATCACCCCCCTCTCTGAGATATCCCCAGCCTCCTGCTCTGCCAAAAGAAGCAGCAGAAAATGTGGGTCTCTATAAATATAAACTCAACTTCGTGGTTTCACCCTGCAAGTGTGACCCAAAGGGACAGCTTGGCTGGGAGGGGGGGGACACTGTCCAACTGCAGCATCCTCCCAGATGTCAGGGCTGGTTTCCCTCCCTGCAGCTGCCCAAGCTTGCAAGAAAAAAAAAAAAAAAAAAGAAAAAAAAAAAAGGAGAGAAGAAAATAAATCAATAAGACACGAAGATAAATATGCTTTTCAGCACTTGCATGTTGCAGCCGATTCCTCTGGACGTGCCGTGGTGGCTGCATAATTCATAACCTCCCCGGTGATATGCAAATGGCACAGCTCCCGCCACATCGGGGCGAACGAAAACGGTGCCAAACTGTGCCCAAACGGTGCCAAACTGTGCCCAAACAGTGAGGGGTGCTGAGCTCCCCCCCCCACCTTTGTGTGCGGTTCTGGGGCGCAGAGCCATCACCTGGGGTGGGGGGTTTGAAGGGTCAGGTCTGGTGGCTGCCACCCATCGCTTCCCACTGAGCTGCAACCTCATCATTTTGGGGAGGAAATATTCCTTTCCCCCTCCCCTGTTTGCATTCAGCCTACCCCTGCTCTGACCCCGGTGGGTTACTGCTATTTTTCTAGAAAAATACATTTTTCCCCCAAATTTTCAGTCCCCCGTGACCCTGGAAGAATGGAGGGCTCAGCACAAGACTTTTAGGGGTCCTTGTGAAACCAGGAGGACTTATGCCCCCAAATCAAGGGCAACATCCCCAATTTGACATCACACCCATCCCAGGGAGCCTGTGTCCCTCACCCCCCTCCCCAACCACCGCTGATGGCTTTGATCTGAGGATCTGGGTTTTTAAAAAGGAGGATTTGGGAGGCATTTCCTTCCAATCTTAGAGACAAACACAACAGTGAAGGAAAGCGCCGGGCGAAGACCTTGATGCAGCACACGGGCAAGAAAACCCACACGCTTTTATGAGAGATTAGGGCAAACTTAGTTGCATCTTAAGCTACTAAAAGCTTATTAAAGCCCCAAAGAATAGACCTGCACGCCTCGGAAAAACCTCCCAGGGCTTTGCTACGAAAAGTCAATTTAAAGTTAGCGTGCAGCCTGCTTAGCTGAAGAGCCCATGAGCTGCAAACAGCAAGCCTGGCCTGCCCAGAGAGGGGAATTTGGGGTGGAGGGGGGAAAAAAAGGGGTCTGGGTCCCCAAATGGGGCAGCACTGAGCCATGGTGCAGTTCTGCTTGCCCAGGAGAAAATGCCATTCTTCATTATGGTCAGGAGGGACGGGTGTTAATATAAACCAACACCAACTTCTCAAATAGAAAAGTACTTTATTAGTCATCTGAGCATCACGGCACCATCAAGGACTTGTTTCAGGCAGGGAGCCTGCCTGGGGGTCAGCAGCAGCCCCACTGGGGATGCTGCAGATGGTATCCCCCTCTCTCAGCCCCAGGGCTGCTCCCAACTGAGCTTTTCCCCCCCTCCCAGGGGCTGCCCGACAGCTTTCCCTCACCCCTGCCTTTCCCGGCCTGTTCCTCCTTCATCCTGACAGCAGTGCTTACCAGGAGTGGCTGCTTTTCCCAGATAAATAGCTTAATTAGCTTTCTATTGACTCAGGCAAACACACTCCTCCGGCAGCGGCTGGGAGAGGAGAGGCAGCAAAGCCCTGGGGAGCGGATCCTGCAGCACAAGGGGGGGGCTGCCAGAAAGCAGGGGGGGGGTAAAAAGGTCTCATCTTGCCCCATGGAGTCACAGGTTGGCCCAGAAGGGCAGATCCAGCCCCAGGAGGGGCTTCTGGTCCCCCTACATGAGCATCCCTTGTACAAATTCCATCCTGTATCCCCTAGGAGAAACGCAGAGAGGGTGAGACCGTGGCAGGAAAACAAATCCAGGGTGGGGGGGAAATAAAATAATAATAATAATAATAATAAAAAATAATTGAGCATCTGCTGGACAGTGAGGCTGGAAATCAAAGCGCAAACACCAAATGTGTCTGCAAGACACGGGGAGAAATTTTTAATCTTGGAAATTGGCAAAAGATTTGAGATAGCTGAAGAACAATCAGCGCTTCCCTTCATGCCTGGAGGAACCGACAAATTTTGCATAAACAATTTTCCTTCCCTCTGATCCGGAAAGCCTGCCCACCCAGCAGCAGGAGAGGCCCAGCACCCTGACTTGGAGGGAGCCAAACCCAGAAGGACCCCTCAAGAAATGACATTTCTGGCCCAAGAGCAACGGGGAGGAGAAGGTTCAGCAGCGCCTGCCCCCAGCTCAGCTTCAGATTCCTGGTCCGAGGACCCCCGGGCTGCTTCCTAATCAGCAGCCAGCACCCCAAACCCCACTGGGCAAAAAGTATTTCCCTGACAGATTAAACGCCATCCACGTGGAACGGGGTTTGGGGATTAAAAATAATAACCCCCCCCGTGATGTGCACCGGCCCCGGACGGCACCGGCATATTAATGCGATGGAGGATGCCGTCCTCCTCAGCCAGGCACCAGCTCCGGCGTGGGAGAGAGATACCAGGAGCTCAATTTGTGTTTGCCTGAGCCAAGGAGAAAAATCTAATTAAACATGGCGTCGGGGCTTGGAGGAGCTGGGGATGGGGCTGGAATATAAAGCGCGGCCGCTTCCCGCAGATCAGAGGGCAATATTAATAAACCCGGCGGAGGTGGGGGGGCAGGGGGGGACGGGAGGATCAGCTGGTAATATTGATAAATGTAAAGCAAAGACAAAGCTGCTGGGGAATATTGGATGGTAAGGCTGATAACAACGCGACGGGGACCACCTTGACAGCCCTGCCGTCCTGCCGGGGCGAGCATCGCAGCCCCCCGCCTGCTTCCCAGGCAGGGGATGGCATAGGACACCCCAAAAAGCCCCCTAACTTAACACAGGGGTGAATTTTGGCCTGATGGGCTGCTACCCCCAAACTTGCAGCCCTGGAGAAGCAGTGAACATCCCAGAGCTGGAGAGGAGCCATCGAGGCACAGGCACAACGTGTGGTATCAAGGCTGGGCTAGGAGCTGGGGGCTGCAGAGGGGACAAGGACACCAAGAGGAGAGCCTGTGTGTTGGGGACACACAGCGCTGGAGATGCTCACCCACTTGCTCCATCAGCTGTGGGGATGCAGGGCTGGAGGTGGAGGAGAAGACAGGAGCAGTGCAGAGGGGATTACACAGCGTCTGCAGCTCCTTCTCCTTCCCCAGCGACCTGCTGTCTCTCGCCTCATCTGGAGCGTGAAGGATGGGAGTTTGTTTTCTCCTGCCTTCATCGAAGGGAAGCTCCTGCATCCTGGGTGAGGAGGAGGGAAAGGGGCCGTGGCTCTTGCTGCAGGGGCGGTCATCCCAGCTGACGTCTTCCACAACCTCACTTGGAGCGAGGGGGCTGGCAGCAAAAGCAGAGAAACCCAGCCCAAAACCGTCTCTCCAGGCTGCAAGAGACCTCCCTCACCCCCTGCCTTGCCCCACGCCGTCCCAGGCACCCCGAAAATCCCATTTCCCAGCAGGGAGAAGCGAGGCAAGGGGAGACAGTCTATAAGTCAGCCCTTGATGCAGACCACTGACCACCAGCTGCCCTGAGAGCTCAGACAAGAAAAACTAGGAGGGGGGAGAGCAACTGCTACCCCCTTTCTCCCTGCCAGCATCACCCACCCCAGCAGCAGAGATTTGGCCTCCAGCAGGGCTGGGAAAGAGGCAGGGGCCAGACCCAGAGCCCCACAGGAGGAGGAGGAGGATGCTGTCTGGCTCCAGGGATGGGAGATGAAGTAAATTTGTTACCTGGGGACGTTCAAAACGCTGGAAACACCTTGGCTTCTTGGTGGTCACAGCCCAGGTCTTCCTCTTGGCTCCTGTACCCCCAAAGAAAGCCCCAAACACCCCCGGGAAGTCCTGGGTCTCCCCATTTGGTGCTTAAAATCCCCACTGAGGGACACCTGTGTGACACCACCCCAGCCCCATCAGCACAGCTGGGCCCCCCACCTGCACCAGTGGTACTGGGAGTACTGGGGGTCCCAGCATCACCCCAGTGAGCATCCCTCACCCCTGTGACCCCCTGCCCCTCCAGCCCATCACCCGCAGACCCCTTGATGAGCTCCTGCAGCACCATTTAACCACGCAAACACCTCGGTCACAGCCCAACAACCTCTGTATTTGTCCCTCATTTTCCTCTAAAGCAGGGTGAATCCGTTTCATCCCATCACACAGCATCCAGCCCGGGGGGGGCTGGCTCCCCACTTCACCCCTCTGCCTTCCTTCTTGCAGGGTTTCATCAGGCACGGAGCAAAGCTGGGTTGGGGCATCTTGGACCCCCCCCCCAGCACCCTCTGGTCCTCCACAGCCCATTTTGGGGAGAAGCGCATGGAAAACAGGCAAGGGATGTGTGGGTGGCCTTCTTCTGTATCCCTGCCCACCGAGGAGGGGGGCTTGACTGGGAAGCCCCAGAGGTGGTACCCAAGGATGCTGCACCACCCCAATGGTGGCGCACACAACCACATGTTGGGGGGCCCTTCAGATGCACCCAAAGACCCTGCATCTCCAACACAGCGAGGAGGGGGACAGGGCAGGACACCTCCCCAGGGAGCAGCCAGCCCCTCAATGCCATCGTTTCGGGGACGCTGGGGGGGACTCAATGGGGATCCCAGCACCGGGGGGTACCACCAGCACGGCACCACACGCTGGATGAGGGACATCCTCTGATGTTGTACACAGACTTTATTAGTGGAGGAGCTGCCTCCGGATGAATCGACGCCAAAAAGGTGGAAAAAGCTTCAAAGGCAGCCGGCAAAGGGGGGTGGAGAGCGGGTCCGCCTGGATGAAAGAGAGGGGAGAGACAAGAAAGGGAAGATGCAGCAGAGGATGGGGCAGGATCCCTGCTCTCGGGGCAGATGGTGAGGGACCCGGCTCCCTGCCCAGCCTTGTCCCCGTGGGACCTCTCTTACCTCCTAAGTGTCCCTCTGCAGCGAGGCAGGGATGTCGACGTCTTCCTTGTTGTCCATCTCGGCTTGGTGCATCAGCTGGGACATGCTGCAGCCAGCCAAGGTTAGGGGGGGCTGCCTGGGAGCCCCTGGGGCAAGAGGAGCCCCAAGGAACATGGCAGCCCCCCCAAAGTCTATGCTGAGGCCGGGGTAGGGGGGCATGCTCACCAGTTTTGCAATTGCTCCAGCCCTTCCTGCGCTGCCTTGTCCGTCGGCATGGTCACCATACGGACCCGGGTTTGGCTGCAAGAACCCCCCCCAGGTCCCCTCTCAGGAGCTGCCTCCGCCACCACCCAGGTCCCCAGGTGGTGGCACGTCCCACCTCGTCCCTGTAGGCACCATGGGGCTTTACCTCTGCTTCAAGATCTTGATGGTGGTGGTGCTCTCCAGGTAGGGCTGGCTGACCGACCGATGCAGGGATTGCCCAGAGAGAGACATGTTATCCTGCTAAAAGCAGAGAGGGACGAGGTGTTCGGGGCATGGTCATGGCATGTACCCAGGGTGGCTGAAGCTCTGTACCTCCGAGGGAAGATTTCTCATCCCCCAAGACCTCCTCCAGCCCCACCGTCTCCCAGATGCACCTTGCTGGAGCTCCCAGATGCTCACCTCGCGTGTCCCAACCCGTGGCTCTGGCTTGGTCCCATGTATCTCAGCCTGTGGCTCTGGCTTGGTCCCGTGCATCTCAGCCTGTGGCTCTGGCTTGGTCCCATGTATCTCAGCCTGTGGCTCTGGCTTGGTCCCATGTATCTCAGCCTGTGGCTCTGGCTCGGTCCTGTGCATCTCAGCCTGTGGCTCTGGCTCGGTCCCGTGCATCTCAGCCTGTGGCTCTGGCTCGGTCCTGTGCATCTCAACCTGTGGCTCTGGCTCGCTCCTCTGCACCTCAACCTGTGGCTCTGGCTCGCTCCTCTGCACCTCAACCTGTGGCTCTGGCTCGCTCCTCTGCATCTCAACCTGTGGCTCTGGCTCGCTCCTATGCATCTCAACCTGTGGCTCCAGCTTGGTCTCAAGCATCCCAACCTGTGGCTCCGGCTCGGTCTCAAGCATCCCAACCTGTGGCTCCGGCTCGCTCCCAAGCATCCCAACCTGTGGCTCCGGGTCGCTCGTGGCCATGCACGCCGGAGGGGCCGACACCGACCCTGCCCGCTGTGCCACCGGGCAATCCGTCATCCACCTGAAGAGCCTGCAGGTCCTGTCTTGGAGCTGCAAAACCAGCCAAAGCCACCGTCAACCGCAGGGCACCCTGCCAGGCCCCCCCCCCCCCCCGCCTCCCCAACCAGGCATGAAACCCTGGGAAGGAAACTCCCTGGATTTAAATCCCGGGCTCCCCTGGGTTGGTTGGCATCAGCCTTCGCCCACCTCAACCTCACCTTGTGGCACCACTGCTCCATCAGCGAGACCTTTTCCACCCCGTCCGCAGCGCTATCCTGGAAGAGAGGTGGCTGCTGAGCCCCTCCTTGTCCCCAGTGGTGCTCGGGGATGGGGGAAAACCACCGCAAAGCCCCCAGTGCCACCAGCAAAGCCCCTTCCCCACCCCAACGCTTACTGGGTCCCCGGCAGAGCAGCCACCAATTTCTTTCCGTGCCAGGAGGTACACCAGCCATGTGGAAATGATCATCCTGGGTGCCCTGCCGGCAGCACCACCGGTGTCCCCAAGCATTATTGGGTTGGAGATGGAACCAGGCAGCCGTGTCCCCAAGCAACGGTGACAACGGAGGGCCGGGGAGAGCAAAGCCCAAGGGAGCAAAGCCCAATTCAGGGAACCTGTAGGAGCACCCAAATATAAGGCTGATTAGGGACCTGGAGTATCTCCCTTACGAGGAGAGGCTGAGGGACTTGGGTCTTCTTAGTCTGGAGAAGAGAAGGCTGAGGGGGGATCTGATCAACACCTATAAATACTTCAAGGGTGGGTGTCAGGAGGATGGGGCCAGGCTTTTTTTGATGGTGCCCAGGGATAGGACCAGAGGTAACGGGCACAAACTTGAATAGAAGAAGTTCCACCTAAAGATGAGGAGGAACTTCTTTGCTGTGAGGGTGGCAGAGCCCTGGCAGAGGCTGCCCAGGGAGGTGGTGGAGTCTCCTTCTCTGGAGACATTCAAACCCCACCTGGACACGATCTTGTGGGACCTGCTCTGGGTGGACATGTTCTGGCAGTGGGGTTGGACTAGATGATCTCCAGAGGTCCCTTCCAACACCATGTGATTCTGTGGGGCGCAGGGTGCAGCTTGCACAGGCTTTTCTGTAATCCCCCCCCCCCCGCCATGACCGTGGCTGAATGGGACAGCAAGAAGTGCTGCTGAAGGCTGGAGAGACCCAGCAAGAAGCCCCATGTGGCTACGTAGCTCATGGAAGCCCACCAGGAGGACGCACCTTGGGGCATCCCGAGGCACAGGGGGGCACCCCACATACCCCCCATCGGATGCTCAGGGCAAAGAAAAGCCCAGCATCCTCCCACATCCCAAGGGAGAAACATCCTCTCCACAAGCATCCCTGGGGGCAGCCCACCTCCTCCCCACAGCACCCCCCCCAATTCCAAATCAATGACATCGACAAAAGTCCTTTTTTTTTTTTATTATTATATATATTTTTTTTTAGCAAATGTTTATTTATATCAAAATACAAAACATTTCTGAAGCAGGGTAATGTTACATGAGGAGCAAGTTAGTCGATTCCAAAACCCATCGTTCTCCTACAGCATGGCTAGTTGTACGTAACATTGCAACACTGCCAAGAATTTCTTATAGTGGGTACATTAAAATAAAATAAAAAACCCAAAAAACAACCAAAAAACCAAAAAAAAAGTCAATCTATGAACATGCAATGTTATAAATCGTTAAGTACTCAGCAGGCCTTAAAATCCCAACAGGCAGAGACCGAGGGACTGGCTCCTCCCAAGTAAGGCAGGGCTTCAAACTCTCATTTCTTCCAATTTTTGTTGGCTTATTAGTAATTTCCTCATTCACTGACAACAGTCCAAGAGCCAAAGGGGACCCAACTTTTCTTGGCGGAGTGGGATTATTGCTTAGAGCTGTCAAAGCAGACCCAGCTCCCGGGCGTCCCCGGGGAGGGACATGGCTCGCGGGGTGAGAGCCAGGAGAGGTCTTCCCTTGGCCAAGGGCTGGAAGATGTAGAACACCCCCCCGGGATGAGGTGAGGGGCTGAGTGGGCTCAGCGGGTGGTTATCCCCTTAGAGATGAGCTCTGAGTTTGCCCATTTTGGGGGGGTGGGCCAGGAGGTCTCTGTTACCTGCCCAGGGCAGGCTAGCACCCAGTCGGAAGGAGAGTTTGGGGGTGAGGGACACCCCATTTGTTGCCCCCTCATCACACGCCTTGGATTTGAGGGAAGGGGAGGGGGGAGAGTGATGCTGAAATTTGGTTTCCCCTCCCCCTGGGAGCCCGGCCATTCCCGGGAATGCCGAGGATGCCGCCTCCGGTCCCTCCTGCTGGCATTTTACCGGCTTTTCCGAGCACCACGGAGGCCGAGAGCAACGATACAGATACAGAGATTATATAGAGCGCGGAATAAGTTTCGTGTAAGGCTTTGGTACAGCACCATCATGTCAAATTTATTTGTAAATCGTTTACAGAAAAAAAAAAAAAAAAGCTTACTGAAAAAATAGTGTTTCGTTTCTCTTTTTTTATTATTATTTTTTATCTATTTATTTTCTTCTCATGAGGAACATACCTGAAGTTCGAAAATTAACCCTCTAGTTGCCATCTGGGTTCCCCTCCCTCATCAAAATGCTATTTTTTTTTTTGCTGTGTGCAATTTGAAAATAAACCAAGCGACTCGAAGCCAAGTCCCACCCAACCTGGCCCACGGCCCGCCCGGCTCGCCGTGCACACACGTCAGTAAAATCAACACCACAGAGATTCGGCAGCTGATCGCTACTCACTTTTTTAGTAAAAATTAAAAAAAAAAAATACTAAAAAAAAAAAACCAACCAGAAAACCCAAAAGAAAGAAGAAGAATTAAAAAAAAAAAAAAAAGTCACAACAACAAACATTATGGAACCAGCGGTACCTAAAGTTTCCTTTATTGTTATTTGTTATTAAAAAAAAGTCAGTTCCACTGGTTACCATTGAAACAGCACCAAAGAGCACCCTAACGTGTGTTATACATTGTAATACTCGACATTCAAGAAATGGAAACGAGGTTGGATGGTCTAGTCTTTATATCCATAGGCAAGGAATTCTTCTTAAAAAAAAAAAAAAGAGGAAAAAGTTGTCCCACGCAACCAGAGACCTGTTGGGTCCAGAAGAAAATCCTGCCTTAGGGGAAAACACTACGGAGTTAGGAGGGAATTAAATCAAGAGCTACCTACGGAGGTCTACGAGGGTTCAGAGACTCTACAAACCTATCAAAGGGGATTAAAAAGCCTGGGCTCCCCTGGGAGAGCTGGGGATGCTCCCCCGAGGGATCCAGGGATGCTTCCCACGACAGGGATGCTCCCCCAAAGGATCCAGGGATGCTTCCCACGAGGGATCAAGGATGCTCTCCTCGAGGGATCCAGGGATGCTCCCCTGAGGCATCAAGGATGCTCTCCTCGAGGGATCCAGGGATGCTCCCCTGAGGCATCAAGGATGCTCTCCTCGAGGGATCCAGGGATGCTCCCCTGAGGCATCAAGGATGCTCTCCTCGAGGGATCCAGGGATGCTCCCCTGGGAGAGCTGGGGATGCTTCCCAAAGGATCCAGGGATGCTCCCATGAGGGACCAAGGATGCTCTCCTCGAGGGTTCAAGGGATGCTCCCCTGGGAGAGCTGGGGATGCTTCCCAAGGGATCCAGGGATGCTCCCCTGGGAGAGCTGGGGATGCTTCCCAAGGGATCCAGGGATGCTCCCCTGAGGCATCAAGGATGCTCTCCTCAAGGGATCCAGGGATGCTCCCCTGGGAGAGCTGGGGGATGCTCCCCTGAGGCATCAAGGATGCTCCCCTGGGAGAGCTGGGGATGCTCCCCTGAGGCATCAAGGATGCTCTCCTGGGAGAGCTGGGGATGCTTCCCAAAGGCTCCAGGGATGCTCCCCCGGGAAGCTGGCGCGCAGATGAGATCTCCCAACGCCCTAAGGATGGCTCAAGAAACCTATGGCAACGTCGGCGTTCCCAGGAGGATTTCTACAGCGCTTTCCCCACGAGGAAAACGCCAAGGGACCAGAGTCCACACAGCCCTGCGGAAGGTCCCAGCATCCTCCTGGGAGAGCTGGGGATGCTTCCCAAAGGCTCCAGGGATGCTCCCCCGGGAAGCTGGCGCGCAGATGAGATCTCCCAACGCCCTAAGGATGGCTCAAGAAACCTATGGCAACGTCGGCGTTCCCAGGAGGATTTCTACAGCGCTTTTCCATGAGGAAAACGCCAAGGGAGGGACTGCCCTGGGAGAGCTGGGGATGCTTCCCAAAGGATCCAGGGATGCTCCCATGAGGGACCAAGGATGCTCTCCTCGAGGGTTCAAGGGATGCTCCCCTGGGAGAGCTGGGGATGCTTCCCAAGGGATCCAGGGATGCTCCCCTGGGAGAGCTGGGGATGCTTCCCAAGGGATCCAGGGATGCTCCCCTGAGGCATCAAGGATGCTCTCCTCAAGGGATCCAGGGATGCTCCCCTGGGAGAGCTGGGGGATGCTCCCCTGAGGCATCAAGGATGCTCCCCTGGGAGAGCTGGGGATGCTCCCCTGAGGCATCAGGGATGCTCCCCTGGGAGAGCTGGGGATGCTTCCCAAAGGCTCCAGGGATGCTCCCCCGGGAAGCTGGCGCGCAGATGAGATCTCCCAACGCCCTAAGGATGGCTCAAGAAACCTATGGCAACGTCGGCGTTCCCAGGAGGATTTCTACAGCGCTTTTCCATGAGGAAAACGCCAAGGGAGGGACTGGAGTCCACACAGCCCTGCGGAAGGTCCCAGCATCCCCACCCTCACAGGGCCACGGGAGCATCCTTTGCCTGCTCTCCGCGGGCCCAAATAAAGAGAAGTTTGGCCTTAAAGTGCATGTGGGAGGGCAGGGAGCGGGTGCCAGCATCTCCCACCCAGCCAAAACCTCCCCGAGCGGAGACGTTCCCAACAGCCCAGCAGGGAAAAGCCTGGGAGCAGGGGCAGGAAGCAATTCCCCCCCCCTCCCAAAAAAAAAGCAAGCTCCCTCCAGATGTGCACGCAGCAGATGGAGCAAGTGGGGGTTGCGTGTACAAATTAAAAAGAAATAAAAACCAAAGGGAAGCAGGACGATGCTGTCGGCGCAGCCACCCCCCCCCCAGGTTGAAGGGGGGGGGGAAAGTGGCTCTTTATGTGTCTGTTTGGCATCCAGAGGGTTAACGGTACTGTGGAAAGTGTGCTTTGTAAACATTTCTAGGTTCTTTTTTTTTTTTTTCCTGTTTTTTTTTCTGTAAGTGATTCCAGGGGAGATGGGGAAAGGAGAAAGCTGCCCCCCACCCCAGCCCACCCCCAGTTATACCCCAAAGCCCCATCAGCTGGGGCAGGAGGGGGGGGCAACACAGCCTCCCCCCAGCCCAGACACACACCGGAGAGAAATCTCCTCACTTCCTTTTTTTCTTTCTTTTCCGGGGCTGAGGGCACACAGGGATTGCTGGAATGCCTAACAAGAAGTGTGGCCAGCAGTTCGAGGGAGGTGATTCTGCCCCTCTACTCCACCCTGGTGAGA